AATAAACGGGAATTTTTGGTTCCTACAGCGCTCGCCCGCCTCTCCCCCACCGCCGCCACTCTTAAACAACACTGTCCTAAATGCAGCGTAAACCTGCCCACCGTGCCTTCTTCCCCTCTCCCTCAGGGTAGTGAATTGTTTGTGAATGCTGGGGCACTGCTTTGAGCAGTTCCTGATAAACCTCCGCATTTATTTACTTTTCCGCTGTGTTGTTTCACCTGCTGCTTTGTGAGCTTGGCTCCGTTCAAGTTCTTTGTGCTGCAGGTCATCACTGAGCTGTATTGAGCCCAGCTTTTGGGGGCAGGGGAGGTGACACTGTCCAACTGAATACAGCCCATCTCCTGCAAGGAGAGGGCAGGCACAGGAAAATGCAACAAAGTTTGAGAAAAACAGATGTATCAAAGGCACCCCCGCGACTGAACGCAATAACGTATCAGTACAGATTCAAAATGCTAGCACATTTTGTTGTTTAGAATTTCAAGGAGTTTCTGAATAAGTGAAAGCATAATAAACATCATTTCTGCAGTTATTTGGGAGGTGATAAGCAATTTGATATATCTAAGGAATCACAAAAAGTGGAGCTTATTGCCTTCATACTATGCAATGTTCCACTGTATATCACAAGTGCTCCCATTAGAGAGCTGAGCAGTCATGAGAATGTTGCTTGCATGGAAGGTTTCAGCTAAATGTGAGCATTTATTTATATAGGTAATTTATTTTCTCACCAGCCACAAACGTGCTGAGTGGGAAGGCTGAAAAAAATCTCACCATTACAGGAAATAATCGCTGTAGTTAAATTTTAAATGTAATAGCAAAAGAAATCACAGTTTCCTTGGGGAAGGAGTCACTGCAAAGTCTGATGACAAACAGAACAGCAGCATGAAGCTGAAATGAAAGATTGGGAACAAAGCAGCAAAGGGCAAGGCTGTCACTGCAAAGGCTCTCAGGCTCTGCCCCCATCAGCCTGGATTTGACTGAGTGTGAAGCTCTCATGGTGATTGTTAGAAATGGACCTCACACTGCTTGGACCACAGTCTTGTGGTTAAGAGGAATTCAGATCCAACAGGTATTGTTTGAGGAGAAATTCCACTACTAAACTGTTAGTCATAATAAAGATGTATTCTGCCTCTGAAATTAATAGATTAGCAATATATTTCTGTGTAATCCTGAAGGTATAAGAGTGGGAGATGAAATCAGGGTGTCCTTTGAGGCAATGATAAAAAATATAACAATTTTTTTCACTGAATGAAAACCAGAAGTGACCAGTGTGATGGTTCATTGTCCTCTGCTTACTGCCCTGATTTTTCTGTAGTTGTCTTTTTGTTTTAATGTTTTACTCAGGAGATGAAAGAAGATCTTGACATGAAGGCTCAGTACAGTGAAGAAAGAAAATTAGAAGATGAAAGAAAAGACAGAGGGGAATGAGCAGGGCTGGTGGCAAGAAATCCTCCTGACTGTGGAAGGTTTGGAAGAAACAACCCAAGTCCTCTTACCTTAACAGCCCCACACTTCTTGGTGTTGGTGCTGCTCTGGGGATGTGCTGCTGTGGCAGAATCAGTGTTCTGGAGGTGGCTTGTCCCAAACATTTCTGTGTTTATCATTGTCAGGTGACCAGTAGGAGAAACAGAAAATATATATGTTAACAAAAAGCCCAGCTGCAGGTAATGGCACCATTGACCCAGGTTTCTGCTGCTCCCATTGTGTCAGTCCTGGATGGGGATGTGGAGTCCTGAGGCACCAAAGGGCCTGTGTGATGCACCAGCCTGGGAATGTGTGCTTCAAAAGAAAACATCCTATTACACTGTTATTCAGCTGGCATAATCCAAGCCCTGTTGAGTGCTTGCAGGAGCTGTGACTGCTGAAATCACCTGTTTCCAGAAAGCACCATTAGCTCTTCATAGGGAGAGCTTGGCTGTAAATCCTGTGCATTGCCTTGTTTTTTATTCATTGTTTTACTACACACAGAGCCAAGTCTCCACTGACTTGTGACTGACACAATTTCACTTTGCAAATCAATGAGACACCACTACAAGGGCAGAAGAGTCTTTCCTGAGATCTTGTGTTGCTCAGAGCCCCGAGTGAGTGCAGTCCTCATGGAATTAACCTGAGCCAAACTCCTGAGTTCCCTGGGGCTCCCACCAGCCTCCCAGCCTGTCTCACAGTGGGATCTTCTGGAGTGGCTCAAACTCCAACCAGCTTAGGAAACTCTGCCTTGTGTGGGGAGAAGTGCTTCCAAGGGAATGATAAGGAGGGCTGCTGGTCTGTCCCAGGAGCAGAGGGGACAGAGAAGTTGACAAAGATAGGACAAAGATGGGAGCTTTGTCTTAAGTGGGCTGAATCATGGTATTACTGGAAGGGTGAACTTGGCATCCCTCCTTGGCTGTGAGAGTGTAATAGGAGAAAAAATTTCCAAGTCTATTAAGATGTGGTCAGAGTGTAAGTCAATTAATGAAAATTACAGCCACACAGGTTATTAAATTAACATCAGATTGTCAATAGGAAATATAGATTGCTTTTGAATAATTTAAATTATTTAAAGCATGATGAAAATCTCACAGTCTCCCATAATG